CTCTCTCTCTCTCTCTCTCTCTCTCTCTTTCTCTCATTGAAACCGATATAATTTCGTAGAGTTAAATTTCTGACCCGACGAGACACGTGCAATTGTCGCGAAATTTATAAATATTTAATATTATCTATCTACGGATAAATCGGACAAGTTTATTGATAGACCAAAATGTAGACTTCTATTTCTTCGCGTGTCGCGATATCGGGACAAGAATATATGTTGTTGTCGGTTTCTTTCGCGGAAAAGCTATATATGCTCGTGTCTCGCTTCTTCCAGTTACACCTGCGACGAATATGTGGTGAACGATACCACGAGCGGGCAGATCGAGAAGATACGGCGCGTCACCTTTCGCAAGGACGAGCACAAGGAAAACGATGAGAGCTGGAGCACGTCGCCGCCCACGACGCCGCCGTCCTCGAGAACGCGCGACGGCGGCGGCGACGACCACGACAACGACGATCCGGACGCCCTGTGGAAGGCGGAGGTGGTTGTGAGGAATTTACGGCCGAGGACGGCGCGCAAGAGGCTACACTCGCTGGACGCTAGCAGCGCGGACAATCGGCCGGCCAAGCGTCGCAGCTCCAAGAGTACCAAAGAGAAGAAGGTCGTCGGCCTGAGGAACCTCGGTAATACCTGCTTCATGAACGTGGTGCTGCAGTCCTTCAACAACATCAGCCACTTCTGCGAGTACCTCACGCAGATGCCGTGCCTCGAGGGCATCGCCTTTGACGAGTCCACGGGGCCACCCACGCACCGCGGCCGCGTCGTGACGCCGAGCCGCGCGAAGGAGATGTCGATGAGTGACGCTCTGCTCGCTGAGGAGCTGCGTAAGGTGCTGCTCGGTCTAAGCTTAGGCGGTTCCAACGGCCAGGCGATATCGCCCGAGTGCCTGTTCCTGGCCATCTGGAAGGTCGTGCCGAGATTTCGGGGCTACCAGCAGCAGGACGCCCACGAATTTCTCACCTACATGCTCGACCGACTGCACACCGAGCTGCTGCAGCTGCTGCCCAGGCTGGGACACGAGCCCCTAGGATTGCGCGGCAAGCAGAGTATTGTCACTGCCGTGTTCGGAGGCACTCTTCTTAGCGTGGTAAGTTGAAGCGGAGCGCTCCCGACCGCCGGATAGCGAGCACTCGATTGCGCGCGAAACGAAACGTTCTCGCGGCCGCTTTGGCGGGAGGGAAATTTCTGCGCTCTCGAGAGAGTCTGGTGTCGCTTGCCAAAGTCACGTTCTTCTTCGTTTTTTTCTTCTTGGGAGAAGCGCGGACGAATTATGGATCGCGTTTCCTCGCGCAGGTCCACTGTATGAACTGTCGCACGGACTCGAAGACGCACGAGCCCTTCCAGGACCTCTCGCTGGACATACCGGACAGATTGCAGAGGAGCAGGACGAAGGAGCAGGAGGAAGTGTGCAGTTTGACTTACAGTCTGACGAGATTCTTCAAGGTCGAGGAGCTGGCCGACAGCGAGCTCTACTTCTGCGACAACTGCATGGGCAAGCAGAGGTCTACCAAGAGGTTCTGGATACACAGGCTGCCTAACGTGAGTATCGCTCGCGTGTCTTTCGAGACACAACGCGACCAATGGAAACAGAATAAAAGAAAAAAACTCGATGTCATTTTTAAGAAGTTTTGATACAAAAGAATTCTAGATTTTCGCAACTTTTTTAAAGAAATTCAAATCTTTAATTTTTGAAATCTGCATCTCTAATGCGCATCGATTTTTTTCGACGTCGCTCCAATTTCACTTTAATGTTAGCTTATTCGCGGACGTGCGTGTCCCGATCGATATAGTTCGCACGAACCAAGCGTGACCCGAAAAAAGAACTTTGATCGAGCAGAGAAATAAGTCTGACTAGTAGGACGCCTGTAGTGATCGATGCTCACACGTTGCTCTCGCTCTCTTTCCGCAGGTGTTGTGCCTTCACATTAAAAGATTTAGGTGGTGCAATTCCTATCGCTCGAAGGTGGACACGCAGGTGGATTTCCCGATGGAGTCTCTCGACATGTCCGCGTTCACCGTGCGCGGCGTGACCGGGACGAGATTGGGCGCTCAGAATAGTCATCTTTACGACTTGGCTGCCGTTATCGTGCACCATGGTTCTGGGTAGGTTCCCTTGAATGACGCTTCTAATTAAACTGTGGCTACCCGACGATGAAAATATGTCGAAACTTTCCTCGTAATAGTAGCAACTATCGCGCAACACGTCGATACCGCGATAAGATAACAGCGCATTGTCTCCTATGTAATCTATATTTTGAAATGTTACTTCTACCGTCTTTCACGAATGTATTTAGCGAGTGTTAAATTTCACCACAACGCATACTTGCAATCACATATTTAATTTCGAAAGCAAATAAAAAGATTTCTGCAATCATACACCTAGACTGCTATGTACTTGGACTATTTAGAAATTTAACCTTAATTGTTGTAGAAGTAGAAATATGCATAGCTTTAAGGAAAATGAGCGTTTGTTATTATTTTCCCGTGGAATTCAACGCAGAGTTGTATTTACATTGTAAAATCGTGTGTTGCAGTGCCGGTACTGGACATTACACTGCCTTCGCCGTGCATGACGGCCAGTGGTTCCATTTTAACGACAGCTCGGTGCGGCCCGCGACTACCGACGCCGTCGCTAAATGTAAGCCTTACATTCTGTTCTACGTGCGGAGGGAATTCTCCATTCCACCCCCCTTGTGACGTCGTTTCCCCGACAAGAAGCCCCGTCCCGGCAGCACGAGCCTAGATGACGACGAAGACGACGACGGCGATCAGGACGACGTGGAGCGCACGAAGGAGAACTGAGCGAACGTTCCTTGCGAATCTCTCTCGAAGCGCGTGCGAAGCGACAAAAAAAACAGCCAAAACGAAACGGCGGATAAAGAAGCAAGAGATCGGCCGAATCCGCGCCTCGAGCGCCTTCGAGATCGGAAGACGAAGATTCGTCCGCTTTATCGCGATATATTATATCCATGATTGCTCATTGTTGCCAAATCGTACAATCTCGTTTAGAAGCGTAATACGTCCGCGTTCGCTATCGCGCCTCGACAAAGCCGCTGACGATGCGACCTTTGAGACGCGATTGGGATAACCGGCCACAGACATGATTCCGCCGCCACGTTAATCGCTCGAGCGCGTCCCTCCTTGCGCGCGCGCACGCTTTATCAGATGATTAAAATCGTGCGACTCTTAAATTAGCTCGATGCCCGTCGAAGAAAGGCCGACCGGCACAACGTGCTGATACACGTGTCGTATCTCATCACAGATTGTTCTCACGATCTCTCTCATCATGTGTCTTTTACTTCCGTTGGAGACACTGTAGTCTCTTCGCTGTAAGAGTATAAAAAGATTTTTTTTTCTTCTAAAACTATTTGGTTCTATCTATAGCCGAACATTTATCTCATCAATGTATTGAACTGTTAAATCGTACATTCTTTATCTGTTTAGATTCCTGTCGTCTAATTTTTTTTCTACTTACATCATGCTTTATCTGAATTCCTATAGATTAGGAATTAGTCTATTTTCTTTTCTGTATGTATATAGATATTTGATCTTATTGTTTTTTTTTATCTTATCAAGTACATGCAGTGCTATGTATAAACGTTTATCATCTCTATCGAGATGTCCTGTTTCGCGCGTGGCCGCGGATGTTAATTATTCGAAGGTGTAGAGCTGGAGTTTGCAAATTGCCAACTCGAAGATGCGATGATGCGGACGGGAGAGTAAGAGAGAGAAAGAGAGAGAGAGGGGGGGAGAGAGAAAGAGCAGCGCGATGTATGATTGACGTCGAGCACGCATGCGTATCGTGCCAATGGACGTAGCACGTATGCGGTCGCGTGGAGGTGCGCGATTGTATGCGAGGCATGTGCCGGCGGACGGAGCTTCTCTTCCTTTCTCGGTGACGACGGGGAAGAGGGAGAGAGGAAGCTTAGATAGATAGGAAGAGAGAAAGAGATAGATGAGAGAGCGCTCGAGGTGGATCGCGGAAACGCATTGCCTTTAGCGTCGATTTTCTTTACGCTCTTAACGCGGCGGCCGTCGACCGCCCTCCCCTCACCTTATGCTCCCCCTTCCCGCCCCGCTCTCTTTCCCCCTCCCCCTCTCCATGATCGAATCGATGAAAACCCTCCGCGATAGCGGAATTACGTGTAATCGTCGCGTTCCCCGTGTGTAGTCCTAAAAAAAAAAAAAAGAAAAGAAAAAGAAAAGGATTAAGGAAAAAGAAACGCGAAAACGACTGGTCTTCTCGGTAGATAGATCTTTTCCTAGGCTTAGCGCACGCGGCTCCCGACGTCGGTCTGCCCGACGGGGCCGGAGCCGGAAAGCAAGTACCGTATAGGGCCAACAGCGTTACTTCTCAAGCGACAGCCTTATTCTCCTTCCTCCCCTCTTCCCCCCCCTCTCCGCCTCTGCTCCTCCCGCCGTCCCTCCGACGACCTGCGTCTTCTCCTCCGTCCCTTCGTCGTGCATGCGTCCATGTATAACTTTTACGCGCACACATACACGACATATGCTATACACTTCATACACGTATGCGTTTTACACACATACACACGCACATGCATGAATGTATGCATACTCACGTATCGCGGATTCTACCCTCCCTCTCTCTCTCTCTCTCTCTCCCTTCCGCTCCCCCTCCCCCGCTCCTCTCCCTTTGTCCCTTCACGAAAGGCTCTCGACGACTCTTATGTGATTATTTAAAGACTTATTTTTTCTATAATGATAACGATAATAATGATAATAAGTTAATGCGTAGCGAAGAAAACGTTTTATTAAGGCGATAAACTGCGATAATTGCGCATCTACGGCAAAGACTCTTACTCGTGTATAAACATGACGTGCGGAAGTAAACCGTTTAACATAACACGCATACACACATTTATACACATACAAACACACACAAACACACATATACACCTAACAAATATTATTGAGAACAAGTGAAATATGTACGAACGGCGAATAAATAAAGAACAATGAATCGACGACGGGCTTCGAGATTACGAATGCCACCGAAGCCACATTCTCCGGTTATCAATCCTCGTGATCATCCTAAGTATCATCTTCAGTATTCTCGTTTTCCCGCGCGCTCTGTTTAGGGGTGTTTTCGAAGCACGCCGACTGTCTTAAATTTTATTTTTTTTTTCTCCACCAATCACGTGTGATACACGTGTGATTAGCGAACGCGTGTGATTCCGAGGAAATTGTATAAAATACGCTAATTACACACAAAGTTGTTGATAAATATGTAACTGTTACGTCCTAATGCCAACTAATTCTATATGTACAAAAATGATTAAAAAAAAAAAAAAACGTTGAATGCTGCCGACGCGAAAATGCAGCGATCTTTTTTATGTAGCGTCAAAACGAATAAAGAGTACTACCATCAAGTACCGATAGTGGATACTTTCTCTCAGTCGACAATGAAGAACCGCTATCCGGTTACCGTCTGGCGTATCTCCACGAGGAGCCCAACGACGATCAGTAATTGCAATTATTTATTTCTCGTCCACCGGTCGGGCGAAGGTATCAGTTGCTGATACTTCTGAATATTTACCGTAATGTCCGTAGATAATCATTTCTTTCTTTTCTGCAGCAGGGAATCGGATTTCTTCGTTCTCGACGCTGGCATTTGCGCGGTCATTGGTGAACGATATTTGAACGGCGCGATCGTGTGGCACAGTCTCCAACAGAGGCAACCGGTCAGATCTTCGTCCATCTCATCAACCTCGGAGATGAAGTTTGGAACCTTTCGATCGATATTCCGTTTACCCTTCCCATCCAATGACTCCACGTGATCAGAAAGTGTCACGTCGTGCTCCTTCGGAAGATTATCATAATTAGACACCAATGACTTGTCTGACTGGAGATTCTTCGCGAGAAAAATCGAATAGCGATCCGGAGGACTTTCCTTCGAGCCGTCTACTTCGTCTTTCCCTTGCGATATTTCCTTGTCTTTCTTCTCGTCGAAAGAAAAATTCTTAATGTCTTGCACCCACAGATCATCCCGATCGTATCGTCTACGGGGATGTTCCTGAGCGATCGCTTGGAGGTTCTCCGTCTTCCTCGGGGATTCCCACGAGGGGACGAGCGTAGGATTTGATCTCGCGCCACGATCGATCAAACGATTGTCGGAGCACGTTTTGCGAGCCGACGAATCGCCCGAGCAACTGTTCGCCTTGGAATCCGTTTGACAGGCGTTATTTTCGTAAATGATTCTGGCTGGTTCCGGGGTCTCGTCGTCAATCGGCCGCTTCGGCGCTTTTCTCAATTTCGAGGAAAATATCCGTATGATCGTCCTTATCTTGGACTTCGACGACATCGCGTGCTCCTTCTTTTCCTGCGCGATGCTGCACAGAATATCCGTCACGGCGTCCTCGACACCCGAGGTGGCCAGTCTCGTCACGCTGGGATGCATCTTCAGCTGGTAGACGGTCTTCTCCCGCGGTTGATCGTCCGTTTCTGCGCGACCGGGATTTTTATCGGGCGCAGACCGATAATCGCTCGTGTCCTCGTGTTTCACCGACAGCGCTCCCGACGCCTCCGAAATTGTGAAGGGGAAACGTTCCTCCTGGCTCTTCTTCTTCTTCCTCTTCGGCTCGCAGTTCAAGTTCAACATCAACGAGGATATCCTCGCGGCGAAGTCTGACAGCTCCTGCGTCCTGCGTATCTGGAACGTCAGGTTTTCCGATTGCGCGTTCTTCGCTTCGAGATTTTGATCGAAGATCAGCTTGTCGTCGTTAAATTCAAGATTATCGCCAGCGTAATTTCGCTTTCTATCGCCTTTCTGAATTTTCGATGACAAGTCCAGTTGCCGAGTTCTGAACGACAGTGAATCACGCATTCTTTCCATCGCTACTTCGTAGTGCTCGTTTTCCCGCAAGTACGGCTTTTTGTCGCCCGACGTGTAATCTTTGTCCTTCACATCGTCGAGATTTTCTTCGTCATTAATCGACGGGCATTCGTCCTCCGTTCGCCAAGTGACGTTCTCCTCCGGGTGTCTCAACGACTCGTTCTTCCTGTACTTGGGCATACCCGGCGACTCGGTGGCGCTCGTGACGTCCACGGTGTCCGCGCTCTTCCGGGATGTGCTGCGATCCGATCTCGATCGCGCGTCGTCATCGATCCTCGCGTAATCCCGACCGCTGAGGTAAGCCGCTTTGCGGAAGAACACGGGTGGACGACACTCTCCTTTAAACTCGCCCTCAGGCAGGCGTTCCTTTCGGCCGTAAGTGTAATCGCCAAACGATGTACTTTGGGGACTCCGTGGATTCGAGGAAGTTAAACTTCCCTTGAGCGCGCGATCGTCGATTTCGTATTCCGCCGCCTCGTCGGCCGGCGCAAATGCGCCCTCGGCGGTCGTGACTTCGATACCCTCGTTCCTCGACCTCAACGAAGACTTCCGTTTGCAGATTTCAGAGTACAAATTCGTTTGGTGAGCGACGCTCTCGCACGCGGCGCCATTCTGTTCGTTAAATTCCGATGAATTCGCGTGAATCGCAGTCTCACTGGAATCCTCCGGTTTGTAACATTCCGAGAGTTCGTTGCCTGGCAGCAGACTCCTGTTACTGCCGGAGATCCGGACGGGTATCCTGGAGGGTACGCGCGACAGCGGGTTTCCCCGCGGCGACTCCGACGACCGGGGTCTCGGTACGCGCCACGTTTCGCCCTTCGTGGGAAAAGCCGAAGCCCCGCTCGACGCATCGATCGTATCCTCCTCGCCGCGGTAAAAGCCCGCCGCGCGCCTCCTCGACGCAACTTCGCCCTGTTTTTCCTGCTTCAGAGACACGTCCGATAAAGCTTTGATCAACGCGTGGGGATCGAGAGACCGCGTAGCGGAGCACTCCCGGCTGCCGGCTGACGTCGAGTACGAAATGTCCTGCGAATTTAACGGGAGCGTGGGCACCTTCGTTATAATTTCCCGATCGCATTTGTCCGGCGTGTCGACGCCGTTCTGCGGTCTTCCACCCGAGGACGCGTCTTTCGGCAAGTACACCTTCGCCGTGCAGGACGACCGACTGGGATTTTCGCTTCCGTATAATTCCGAGGTCCGAGACGACAAAGCTTCCTCCGTAACGTCATTTTGAACTCTTTCGATAAAATGCGACGCATCGACGGCTTCTTTCGCGTACAGACTCGTCGATCGGTTCCTTTCCGCAGCATCGAGAGTATCTCCATTGTTTTCCAAAGAATTGGCCTCGAAATTGGACCGACCTGTCGAGCAATTAAATTCAAACTGATCTCTCGCGTCGTCATAATGTGTTTTCGACGCGATACATCGATAATCTTCCACTTCTTCCCTCTCATCCTGTGCATCTTCAAATTCCGATCCGAGACGGTTAAATTCATAAGCTTGTATTGTGGACTTATTAAGAGTCACGTGTTCATTGCAAGCGCTCGTCGCAAGTTCCGCCGAGTCTGACGTAAAACTTTTCGCGAAGAAAATCGACGTGTCTTGCGACGTCTTTTGCCTTTGACAACGCGCGTCCTCGTATTCCGACTCGACTTGCCGAAATTCGTTGGAAGCTCTCGCGACAAATCCACCATGACTCGCTCGCTCGTTAAAAATAGCTTTTACCGGTGCACTTATTTTCCCCAGCTGGTTGCAAGTTTTCGTACCGTCGCGATTGATTTGTTCGACGCAACTTCGCGAAGTATTCTGGACGATCCGATAATCCAGATCGTCGTCGAGCGATCGCGACGAAGGCAGAAGATTCGGCAATATTGACCCGGTAATGTCACGTTTCGCGGACATAATAGGCATCTTCTTGGTGGGTTCATAGGTGGGTGAAACGGCCACAGATTCCGGCGAGGATAATTCCACAGTCGCGACGGTGTCGCCGATTTTTCGGGCGGAAGAAAATCTGCGACTCGTCTCGTTGGCGGATTCCGACTCGCTGCCGGAGCTCAGATTCTTCAGAACCACCCCGGAGGGTGGACGGTATCCGCCAAACTTCTTCGGTCGAACGCTGCTGAGGGAAAACGGCGAAACTGACGGTAGATCCGTCGATTTTGACGCGCCGCTGTCGCGGGACGTGAAGTTTCGACAACTGTGAGGGACTGTCCTGTCTGTCCTGCATTTGATATCGCGCGATTCACCGTTGCTGTGAGGAGAGAAACGCGTGGAGGACGGTTCGGATAAGGAGGAGGGCCGAGATTGTCCCCGAGATATCGCGATCGTGGGCAGCCGCAGGCGATCGTCTCGCGCCGATCGGTCTACGGTGGAATTTGATTTGCCGTCGTCGCCGGCGATTTTCGAAGAGCCGGTGCAGCCGCCAGCTTGAGAGATCACCATCGCTCTGTCGTTGCGGCGGGGCGAACTTTTCAAACGAACTCGCGCCCTTCTTCGTGCCCGGGCGTCCTTCGGTCTGGACGCTCCCGAGGAGTTCTCCGACTCTGCTCTCTCCTCCCACTCGTCGTTCTCCTCGATTCGATTCGCCACTCCGTGCAGACGTAGGAAAGTCTCGCGTTTGCGACAGATTCGCCGACCGAGTGCGGCCACGCGATCGGCCAGAAAAATGAATTCGTTCGGCGACGGCAAATCTTCGAGACGCTTCCTCAAATCGGACGGCGAGCTATCGCTGGACTCGGTGGAGCTGGACGTTCGACCTTCTGATGCGGTATTAATTGTCAGATCTGTTTCATTTGTTAAGAGTTAAACATTACGATCAAATCATAAAAATTGTATGAAAAAACCTGGATTAACAATTACAAGTCTTTTAACCTCTTGTGTTAATTTGAGTCTTGAATTTAACACGTAACTTTAATTTTATGAATTTTTATTTGTATAGAATGTTGGATAGAATAATTATAAAAAAAGATTATATTAATTAAATGATTTCTTTAATATGAAAAAATCTCAATGTAATTACTCTGATTCGCGATATAAAAATTTTTTAACGATATTTTGATGCATGATTGCACTTGAGACAAATATCATTGATGACTTAGAATTAATCAGTAAAAGTTTATCAGTAATTAAGTAC